CTTACAGAACTTACATGGAACGGAGCTTAAATTGAACAACTACATTTTCGTAATAGTATGGGGAAACGCACCGAGATGTCGAAACGTAATGTCGTAAGTTGATCGGCGATTCTCTGGCATAGGAATTTGGCTAAACTTTTTTTGTTAACGGTTACCTATTTAATAATACTTTTCACATAAACTCACATAACAACACATTATGTATCTTTTATTAATGTTTGACATAAATAAATTTGTTGAACGTCATTTGTCTTAGAGTTCCGTGTATAATAAATAAGGGAAATAATCCAAGATGGCGATCTCCCAGAATCGTCGATCTTTTCCTGAAAAAAACTTGAAATTTTCTATACCTGTGTATTTTACGCACCCCCTACTTTGGGTATTAAATTTCTGAAAAAAAAGTGCGCAAATTACATGGGTTTTTACGGTAAGATTTACTGTTTCGTGACTACGAGGTTCTTTTAATGTACATTAAAGGGTTAAACTAGCATTCTCGTCTCGTCCACAAGGTGGTGCACACGGAGCCTTCAATTTTGCTATGACATATTCCAGGGGTGCAGAAAGTGAAAGTGACCGTAACCCCTGGATATCGAGGATAATTGAAGTGTGGAGGGAAAGGAAAATGAAAAAAAATGGTTAATGTTACATATCTCTTGCCATTACATGGTCTGTTTTGTGAAAAATCTATTGTAAAACGATTTGATCATAAATTTATATAATTCATTTTCAGGGCCTGTTTAGAGAAAACAAAGAAAAGTTAATTAACGGTGCTCTAGCAAGCCTGCTGGATCGGGAGGGAGACCAGAATGCAATCCCCACAGCTTGCCTAGAAGCCCAATTCCATGCCCTCAGACGATTGGTCGCTTCAAAAGCCGGCTTTCAGGCCTTCACAAACCTACCAAAGTAGGTCACAAGCTTTAAATCTTGATACAGTATTAGTCATGTTGAAGGTAAAACCATTCCATAAATCACAGGAAGTAGATGACAGTGTTATAGAAGTGGGTCACTGTGTTATTGAAGTGGGTCACTGTGTTTAAACATAAGTCACAATGATATAGATGTAGGTCACAATGTTATATAAGTAGGTCACAATGCTATATAAGTAGGTCACAATGTTATATATGTAGGTCACAATGTTATAGAAGTAGATCACAATATTATATAAGTAGGTCACAATGCTATATAAGTAGGTCACATTGTTATATATGTAGGTCACAATGTTATAGATGTAGGTCACAATGTTATAGAAGTAGGTCTCAATGCTATATAATTCAGTAGGTCACAATGTTATATATGTAGGTCACACTGTTATAGAGGTAGGTCATGATATTATAGAAGTAGGTCATGATGTTATTTAAGTAGGTTAAAATGTTACAGAAGTAGGTCATGATGTTGTAAAAGTAGGTCACAATGTTTTAGATGTATATCACAGTTTTACAAATCTAGATCACAAGTTTACAGAATTAGGCCAAATCCACCAAAGTAGATCACCAACTTAAAAAGTCTGGCCACAAAAGTAGATTACACTTCCACATAATAGTTGAAGTATTGGTTGATTGTCAATGTATTATTTTAAGTATAAAACAGATATAGAATCATTAAGATCTCATGACTTCAGTTATCTATGTAAATTGAGTCAATTACACAATTATCTATAAAATTAGGTAAGAGTTATTCATGTAAACTAGTCTAAAATAAGTCAATTCCAAAATTATATTCAATCAAATTTTGCAAAGATACTTTAATAAGTTGAAATTGACTGAAGTGGTTGTCTTAGTGTTCAGGTAAGGCTTTTTTTACATGTTAAATGTTCTTATTGTTGATTAAAAATGTAATCAGGTGTGTTTTGTTGTAGGATGCGTGAGAGAGTCGGTTTGAAGGTGGTAAAAGCTTTAAAGCGGTGTGATGCAGGTGTGACACACGCGGCCGTCGACATGCTCTGTGCTCTCATGCAGGTAAAGCAGAAGTGTAAAACCTTTGGAAGGGTAACCAATATACCTTTTAAACAACTATAAGAAAATCATGTGGGTTGAATTACTTTAATAGGGTTCACTTCAATGCTCTGTTTTGACATGAAGTAGAGTTAAAAAGCTTTAGAAGTCATTTTGTGATGAGGGCCTTTTTTTTTAAATATGTAAGACCCCTAACACCTACAAAACCCCCAGAAATAATGAAATTTATATCCCCAGATTGAGCACCTGAATTTTTTTCCCTCCAGATTATCCATATTTTAACGTCAAAATATCAATCCGAATGGCTTGTTATCTTTAGCCAAAACATTATCTAAGATTACAAGTGTGCAGGATTCCAAAACAGTTTCAGAGAAGTCAACTTGTATTATCCACGGAGTGGTAGGTAAATCCAGGCTGGGTGGCAGATTAAATATAGGACCCTGGAATCAGGACCTTAGGATTTAGAGATGACTTTGTCGCTGACATGATGGCATTGTACAGTCTTTCGGTACTTTTATCATCTCTTCAATGCTTGTATTGTTTTTCCAGCCCATGCACGATGAATACGATCTACGACAGGAACAAATGAACAAGTACTCGCTCCTCTCATCTCAGAAGTTTCTCAAGACCCTGCTGGAAATGTTCAATGATAATGTGGTAAGGAGTGAAATGTTCAATGATAATGTGGTAATGAGAAGTGTTTGTTTTACACCACTGGTTGACCAATGGAAGAACACTTTGTTGGTGACCATGATTTGTTTTTGAAGAAATGAAGAAAACATGAGAAATATCTTTCCATTTTCAATAAAAATAATGGTATATTTTTCTAGTTTATGAAGGAACAGGCTGCTGTAAAATAATCATAGAAAACTGTTGGGTAAATGATCCTTGAGAGAAGTTTTAACTTTCGACCTATGATCAATTAATGGAAATAATCACTGTTATTAAATGTCAGTTAAAACAATAATGTAGATAACATTTAGAGTAAAGGGGAGTGGGGATTTCCGATAGTTGTAGGAGGCATTGACATTTCAAGATTTCTCAGGTTAAAGTATATAGCTTATGACAGAGATCTATCAAGTCATGAAAGTTTCCTGTTACAGTGTTGATTGTGGTCTGTTATAAACATCTTCTCCCATCTCTCTCCTACTTGTCTCTGTTTACCTGTTTTAAGACCTCTCTCATCCCCTAGGGTATGCTATTTTTGTCACCCTTTTGGTTAGATTTCTGTGTCATCCCCTAGGGTATGCTATTTTTTGTCACCCTCTTGGTTAGATTTCTGTGTCATCCCCTAGGGTATGCTATTTTTTGTCACCCCCTTGGCCTTGGGTTAGATTTTCTGTTTCATCCCCTAGGGTATGTTTTTTTGTCACCCCCGAGGTAAGATTTCTGTGTCATCCCCTAGGGTATGTTTTTTTTGTCACCCCCTTGGTTAGATTTCTCTGTCAACCCCGAGGGTATGTTTTCTCTGTTACTTCTAGGATAAGATTTCTCTTTCACCTCTAGGGTAAGATTTATGTGTCATACCCTACAATAGGATTTCTGTGCCACGCCCTAGACTATGATTCTGTCATCCCCTTGGAGATGATTTTTCTGTTACTCCTTGAGGTGTGATATGGAACGAGGAGATAAACACTACAATGATGTTATGGGGAACAATAAATGAGACATCACAATTAGTTTTAGATGGAAGGTGTCGCATGTAAATCAGGATAACCACACAGATTGCAACAGATAACCAATGTTTTCAGTTATTAGCTCACCTGGCCCGAAGGGCCAAGTGAGCTTATGGCATGGTGCAGCGTCCGTCGTCCGTCCGGCGTCAACTTTTTACTTTAAACAACTTCTTCTCAGTAACCAAAAGGCCTAGGGTGATAATATTTGGCCAGAAGCATGCTTCGATGAAGGGCTACCAAGTTTGTTCAAATAAATGACCTTCATCAATTTTCAAGGTCACAGGGGTCAAATATGTTAAAATCTTTAAACAACTTCTTCTGAATAACCAAGAGGCCTAGGATGATGATATTTGGCCAAATTGAGGATTAATATTTACCATACTTGCCAACCCTCCCTAGTTAGGAGGGAGACTCGCGATTTTGGACCCTTAAATTTAGTGTTTTCAAAGAGTGAATTTGTTGATCTGTTCCTATATTCTAAGATCTAATGATTTTATCTGAAAGAACAACTCAAAATATGTCAGAGAGTTATTTAAAGAGTTATTTTGTCTCTAGGGGGTGTATACACACATTTTATTTGTGTTTTAATTTTGACCATGCAGAATCTCCCCTGTGGGAATTGAAAAAAAGTTGTCAATAATGATTCAAAAACAAGTGTTATTATTATAAAAAGCATTCTCAGTATTATAAAGTTTTTGACAAAAAATGTTTTCGCTATATCAGTATACAGTTATTCCGCTTCATCTCATTTTCAGGTACACAACACTTCTGCATTGGTGATATCAGCCATGTTGGATTTCCTGACCTTTTCCCTCTGTGCACCGTACAGTGAAACGACAGATGGCGGACATTTTGATATGTTACTTGAAATGATAGCTGCGAATGGCCGTATTGTCTTTAAGCTATTTCAGGTACTGTAAAATAAAAATAAAAAAATTTGACTTTGTATCAAAATTTATATGTTGTTGATGAATACCATGTATTTTTGTGAAGATCTGCAAAAAAATGTGAACATTAATAAATTTGCTATCACCATTTATCACCGACACATATTTCCATTTGGAATTCTTTAGAAAAAGAGATACATTTAACAGTTAGCTAGCATATGTCCTTAACCCTTTCACCACTGTAGACCATAATGGACTTATCCAGATCAATGCATGGTAGAGTCTACTAAAGTTGCATAGGGGTGAAAGGATTAAAGTCGATTATTCTGATTCAAGTTCACCATGAAACAAAAAACTTGTATTTTCTGTTTGTATTATTTGACAGCATCCTTCAATGGCTATTGTGAAAGGATCGGGGCTTGTGATGAAAGCCATCATTGAGGTAAGGAACGCCATGGAATAAGGTGAATGTTCCATTTGTCTGTTTTATGTCAACCTTGGGATGTTCTGTGTGTAAATGAATATGCATATTGCTTGGAGGGGGGGGGGGGGGGATAAAAATGGTATTTGGGAATCAAGTTTAAAAAAAATCTTTTTGACATAAAATGAAATGTTCATGATCATACACTTCTGACTTTGTTTATAGGAGGGGGATGCAGAGACGGCAGCCAAGATGCAGGAGTTAGCTTTGTCAGAGGGGGCTCTCCCAAAACACCTCCACACAGCCATGTTTACACAGAGTGCAGACAGTCGAATGTTAACCAACAGGTAAAGGGAATTCAGCTTGATTAAACTAGGCGGCCATAGGGATACAATTACAGTAGGCAGTCATAGGAATACAATTACAGTAGGCAGTCATAGGGATTCAATTACAGTAGGCAGTCATAGGGATACAATTACAGTAGGCAGTCATAGGGATACAATTACAGTAGGCAGTCATAGGGATACAATTACAGTAGGCAGTCATAGGGATAAAATTACAGTAGGCTGCCATAGGGATACAATTACAGTAGGCAGTCATAGGGATACAGTTACAGTAGGCAGTCATAGGGATACAATTACAGTAGGCAGTCATAGGGATACAATTACAGTAGGCAGTCATAGGGATACAATTACAGTAGGCAGTCATAGGGATTCAATTACAGTAGGCAGTAATAGGGATACAATTACAGTAGGCAGCCATAGGGATACAATTACAGAAGGCAGTCATAGGGATACAATTACAGTAGGCAGTCATAGGGCTACAATTACACTAGGCAGTCATAGGGATACAATTACAGTAGGCAGTCATAGGATACAATTACAGTAGGCAGCCATAGGGATACAATTACAGTAGGCAGTCATAGGGATCCAATTACAGTAGGCCGCCATAGGGATACAATTACAGTAGGCAGTCATAGGGATTCAATTACAGTAGGCAGACATAGGGATACAATTACAGTAGGCCGCCATAGGGATCCAATTACAGTAGGCAGTCATAGGGATTCAATTACAGTAGGCAGACATAGGGATACAATTACAGTAGGCCGCCATAGGGATCCAATTACAGTAGGCAGTCATAGGGATTCAATTACAGTAGGCAGACATAGGGATACAATTACAGTAGGCCGCCATAGGGATACAATTACAGTAGGCAGTCATAGGGATCCAATTACAGTAGGCCGCCATAGGGATACAATTACAGTAGGCAGTCATAGGATACAATTACAGTAGGCAGCCATAGGGATACAATTACAGAAGGCAGTCATAGGGATACAATTACAGTAGGCAGTCATAGGGCTACAATTACAGTAGGCAGTCATAGGGATACAATTGCAGTAGGCAGTCATAGGGATACAATTACAGTAGGTAGTCCTAGGGATTCAATTACAGTAGGCAGTAATAGGGATACAATTACAGTAGGCAGCCATAGGGATACAATTACAGTAGGCAGTCATAGGGATGCAATTACAGTAGGCAGTCATAGGGATACAATTACAGCAGGCAGTCATAGGGATACAATTACAGTAGGCAGTCATAGGGCTACAATTACACTAGGCAGTCATAGGGATACAATTACAGTAGGCAGTTACAGTAGGCAGCCATAGGGATACAATTACAGTAGGCAGTCATAGGATACAATTACAGTAGGCAGCCATAGGGATACAATTACAGTAGGCAGTCATAGGATACAATTACAGTAGGCAGTCATAGGGATACAATTTCAGTAGGCAGTCATAGGGATTCAATTACAGTAGGCAGTCATAGGGATACAATTTCAGTAGGCCGCCATAGGGCTTTTCTTTGGTGTTTTAGAAATGATCACCTTCCTCTATATTAAAATTTCTACATCTGCATTCTCTTCCTAAGTGTGTGATTTGATTATGAAGCATCTTCATGGGAAAGAAAACAAACCTGAGCATTATTGGAATGAGGTAGAATTTGGGCCCATAACATAGCAGGAAAACCTGGTGCAAGTTTATTGAAGTTAATGGTATCAATATAAAAAAATCACTGTGCATGGTGTATCGATATCTAATCCAAATAAATTGAAATGAGTTGTAAAAAGAAGCTAAAAGTTTTAATTAAAAGTATAACTTTAATTTCATGAGTTTGTAAGAATGAAGTCAACTGACTGAAGTCTTTGTAAGTCTAGAATGTTTGGCAGCATTTGAACTCCTGTGTACTTGATGACTTGTAGGCACGGGTTTGACCTCTGTCCTCTTGGGTACCCTGTGTGTATTCTCTTAAGGATCCTCGTACCACTCCCAAAAACTGTAACGAAGTGTAGGAAACTGTGTTTCCGGCATGACTAAAGTTTTGATGAATCATTTCTAAAAAGAAAACCATACCTAACGGGACTTTTATGAGATACAATAAAGATGAAAGTAACAAAATATAATCAATCTGAGTGTAAAATACATTGAGGCTAGACCGGGATTCGAACCCCTGACTTCAGATTGTTACACCATCTCTCTCTCCCATTGGAAGTATTCTGGCCTAATTATGCTGCAGTTATATGCAAACAGAAGGTAAGGGGAGGTAACTGTAAACAAAATAGTGAAGTGGGTCAGGAATCCTTCAACAGGGTAATGAAAGCCGTCATTGACAAAGAAATTCTTGCATCATGTTAGCTTGAACATTATTTGTCTTATAACACTTCCTCAATTCCATTTGTTGATAGACAGCTGAGTCGCCATCTTGTGGGGTTATGGGTGACGGGACATCCTACAGCTATGGGCCTGCTGCGGCGCATCCTGGTATGACTTCATTTAAAACTTTGAATATTTGACCATTATATGGAACAATTTCACAAATTATATTTTTCAGGTTTCTTTTTACTATAATAAATCACCTACACTATAAATGCCACCCATATGCTGTTTCAGCAGCCAATAATGGGAGTTTTTAACCGAGTAAGAGGATGGGGGAAATAATGATTTATTAGACCTTCAAGTTGAGAGTATAATAAAGACATTTCAAGCCTCTGGTTAAAGTTTTTTAGGTCACCTGAGACAAAGTCTCAAGTGACCTATTGCGATCGCCTTCTGTCCGTCGTCGTCCGTCGTGCGTCGTGCGTCCGTAAACAATTTACATTTTCGACTTCTTCTCCAAAACCCCTGAACCAATTTCAATGAAATTTTGCAGGGACCTTCCATGGACAAAGGTCAACAAAAATAGTTGCCGGTTTAGTCCTAAGCCCCCAGGGGCCTGAGGGGCGGGGCCAAAAAGGGTCAAATTGACTAAAATTTCAAAAATCTTCTTCTC